CCTAAACCACTCTATCACTGAGTACAAGCATAGCAACTGCTCTACCTGGAGCTAAAGGAGGCTGATGATCAAAAGTTATTTTCCTGCTTCAGGGACGCCTGGGTGTCTCAGTTGGTTAAGCATCTGACTCTTGATTTCAGCTCAAGTCATGATCTCACAGTTCCTGGGTTCGCACCCTGCATAAGGCTCTGCGCTAATGGCACAGTGTGGAGCCTACTTGGGATTCTCTCTCTTCTCTCTCTTCTCTCTCTCTGCCTCTCCCTGTGGTCGCTCACTCTCAGAGTGAATAAATAAATAAACTTTACAAAAAGCTATTTTCCCGCTTAAGACAATTAGCTCATGAAAATTCAAATACTTTCCACTTACCAGTTTAATGATTCACAATGAGCTCACAATCAGACCACACACACTCTCTCTTCATTGATTCTTCTTTTCCTATTTTCAAGGTACAGTAACAATCTAAAGATACCAGAAGAGGGGCACCTATCTAGCTCAGCAGGAAGAACATGTGACTCTTCATCTTGGGGTCATGAGTTCAAGCTTCACGTTGGAGGTAAAGATGACCTAAATGCACTTAAATACATTTTAAAAAATAAAAATAAACTTTAAAAAGGTAAAAAAATAAAGATACCAGAAAAAAATTTTTGTTTTAGGAACAAATTTACTGAGTGACAAATAACCATCCACACAGGAAGAAGAAAGTTGGGAAGGTTGGAAATAAATAACAGACATTCAAATTCATCAAATGGCTCAAAGAGGGGCCTAGTTTTCCTAAGAGTCAGAAACAGGGATTGTGAAAAGGTGGTATACAAGATTCTTTGGTCAGAATCTGAAAGGGATGGTAACAGGTTCAGGTCCAGTCAATTCAAGAATCATAACAATGTTTGAAGATGAGGGGAACAAAATTCACCTTAGAGGCACCCTAGAGCCCTCCAGCTCCAGATAAGATTAATCTACTTCTTCGATGGTGGGGCCCGTGGCAGCCCTTCCAGGAGTATACCCTGTCCCACAGGTAGGCCCAGCGCATCCTCCCTGGTAGAGTTTGGTGATGACTGGGTTACACACCTGCTCCAATTCCTTTCTCTTGTGATCAAACTCTTCTTTCTCAGCCAGTTGATTGGCCTCCAGCCACGAAAGGACCTCATTGCATTTATCCAGTATTTTCTTTTTATCAGACTCACTAATCTTGCCCTTCAAGCCCTCATCACTCACAGCACTCTTCATGTTAAAAGCATAAGATTCTAAGGCATTTTTTGCAGCGATTTTCTCTCTTTGGACCTCATCCTCAGCTTTGTACTTCTCAGCATCCAGGACCATGCATTCAATCTCCTCCTTGCTCAGCCGGCCCTTGTCGTTGGTGATGGTGATCTTGTTGGCCTTGCCCGTGCTCTTGTCCATGGCTGTTACATTGAGAATACCGTTGGCATCGATGTCAAAGGTCACTTCAATCTGAGGCACTCCCCTGGGTGCAGGAGGGATTCCAGTCAGGTCA